AGGGGTCAGAACGGATTGACCGTATTTACATTGAACCTTATGGGAAAATTTGATTCGGGTCGCGACCAGAGTTGTGGAACGAATTAAGTTCGTGACCCAAGGTACCACTGTACTTACAAATACACAAATGTCTGTATACAGAACAGTGGGCATTGTTACCAGTTGCTTATGTAGCTGAGTCTACTAGCATTCATGAAACAGAAGCCAGTGGCAAAATCATACTAATGTAACTACAGTTTATGCTAATCTTATATTTATTATAATAAGCTAAGGAAGAGTGGAGAAAACTTTGCACGAACATGCTTGGAAAATGATTCAGATGTAGTACTCAAACTTCACACAGGCATGAGCATATCACCTTTCTGCTATTCGTTTAAGCAGCCTTTTTTCAGATGTGAGATAAAGGTAGGTAAGCAGATGGTTGGAAAACCCCACTAAGGTGGACAATTATAACTTGACACAGCTAATTGAAAAGGTGCTTTGGTTGGTCTAATAACTGGCCTTTAACTGAACTTACTATCTAAATGTACTATTTAAATTTACTCTAGAAAATAGATGAAGTGAACTCTGAAGTAACCAGGTTAGTTAGTTTAAAAATGATTTTTGAGGAAATACTGATAGATACTAGTAACTTGTCACTGAGATCTGAGGCTAGGAGTCTCTTCTCATGCTGGAGAGATATATTATACCTGAGAGATATATTGGAACAGATATATTATACGCAAAGCATTTTTCTCAGAAAGGATAGAGATCTCATTGCTATGGCAGTCTACAGTTGGGAAGAGTTCAAAACAAAACAGAATATAAAAGATGGTTTAATCAACTTGATAAAAACACTATTGTTGGAATACTGAATAAAAAACGAAATGTTTCTTTGAATATTAACTAAATTAGGAACTAACAGCAGATGCTCCTGCCTTGAATCCAGAAATGATCTGGCCAGACTTGTTTGCTCTAACAGCCCTCTGTCTTTCCTAAACTTATGCAGATAAAAACTGTCCAAAGATGCAACATAGAATATGCAGTTTATATGCAGAACATGCAATTCAGAGCTGTCCCACCATGCAATGAATTGAGCGCATTCAGAAAACCCCTGAAAAAGGATGCCAAAGTAGCGATTGAAGACTGAACAGGGAGCCAGCCTGAACGCTGCTTCCCAAATGTAAGCCAATATGCCGTATTCCTTAAAGTATCTGGAGATGATAGATTTCAATGTCCTGTTCTCAAACACATGGAAATAATAAGACAGAGTTTCCTATACTCAGCCACTCTGTCCAAATAAAAGCAGATACTTCATATATATCCAGCCTTTGCCCATTTTTTTCTTGGGAATGTATTGGATGGGAATCAAACAAAGGCAGCAGTTGAATAAAAGGGGAAGTAAGCTGTTTTTAGGGAAGGGGGCAGGAGTTAGGGGTAGATGGATCTTCGTGATTGGCAAGCAGAAGGAAAAGTTAGGGAACTTCCTTCTGTGCAGACTTTCATTTTAAACATTCATAATGACAGCTTGGGAAAAAAAACCACAAAGCCAAATATGAACTATTGATGAACAACCAGGAAAGCTAATAGTAATTATGCTGAGCAGAAAAATCAGTAACGTTTTTACACTATGAATGTTCTGACTGTTCACAAAGCAGATTAATCCTGATGTCTTCTACTTCTCAGTAAAAACAAGAAAAAATGTTCATTAAAAGTTGTCCTAAACTGGTAAGTACATAACCTGCAGGGAAAAGTTATGTTACGAAGACTTTAAAAATGAACCACAAGTTTCAAGAGGCCTGGAGTAAAAGATTTATTTTAATTTGGTTTAAATTAAGGGGGATGCCCTAAATAAACAAATTAACATTACAGGGTTATATCAATCGAACAGAAGAGACAGCACTGACAGCTTACCAGAGTCTCTTTAGTTTGCAGTCTGAATGTTTTAGTTCCTCGCACAGCAGATCCACTGCTTTGTAAACTGTGCCAGGAGGAAACAGAGCTAATTCCTTCAGTCCCTGGTTTTCCCTGAGAGCTTCAGCGAGAAGCGTGCGGCAATATTCTGTCATAAACCCCCGCGAAAGCCTGCGAAGAAGAGCCAGATGAGTTGCAATATATTTTTTAAATAAAAATGCATTATAGTCTTCAAAGAATGAAGCAGAGATTAAAAACTGATGACTTACTGTAGTTTCTCTAGTTTACAGCCTGGGTGTTTTAGCCCCTCACACAGCCCTTCAAACACTTTGTCGTCCTTGTCACTTGGAGACAGAGCTAACTCTTTCAGTCCCTGGTTTTCCCTGAGAACCTCAGCAAGATACTTGCAGCAGTTTTCAGTCAAGGCACAACAGGTTAGCCTGTAAGGCGTTGAATTACAGTTATATTTTTGAAAACAACCATCCACTGTAATCTTGAAGGTTCTACAATGAACATGATTATTTAACGGAGCTAAAACTGCTTCTCCCTGGAGAAATTTCCAGATGTTACATAAATAAAACAGTTACACCAATAGAATAAGCATGTGCACAGCCA